TACGATATCCGGCGTATTTTGGCACGTAAAGAGAATATCCTGGGCCAGTGGAGTCTGCTGAAGGAGCTGGTGGCTGGGAGAAGGACCCGGCTGGAGAAGAATCTGGCCTTGCAGAAGACCTTCCAGGACATGGTGTACATGATTGACTGGATGGAGGACATGCAGGTACTAGAGAGCGTGAGAGACGTAAAATGAAAAGGACACTACACCTAAAATACGAGTACTGGGGTCAAAAGAAACTCTGTAACTAGAGTCCTACATACACTTCAGTTTTTTCATGTGTGTATATAAACACAGATATCAAAATGTATTACTGAAACCCCTGGTTTCATCATTTCTACTTCCATTAATTTCTCTCGCCTTTCTTCCCTCCTGTTGCTTCATTCCTTTCAGGTCCAGCTGCTCTCGAGGGACTTTGGGAAACATCTACTGGAGGTGGACGACCTGCTGCAGAAGCACGGCCTGCAGGAGGCCGATATTACTGTGCAGGCTGAGAGAGTCGAGACGCTCAACACTGCTGCACTCAAGTTCACCACAATAGAGGGTACACGCATGTACACACACATTGTGTTGCAGTGAAAGTGTTTTATTTGTCTTTAGCAATGATTGGAAAATTGGTATTTAAGGCTTGGTGTGAGTAGGTTGATATCCTGTGTCTGACTCACGGTTCTAATAAATTTAATGCCGTCTCGTTTTTACAGGTTACCAACCATGTGACCCACAGGTGATCTGTAACCGTGTCAACCATGTCTCTTCCTGTCTGGAGGAGCTGAAACACCTGGCAACTAAAAGACGTGCTGAGCTCGAGGAGTCAAGGAAACTGTGGGCCTTCTTTCAGGTGAGATGGGTCAGCAGGCTGTGGGGAAAATGGCGGGATTAACTTGCCGGGATCATTCCTAGGAGCCAGTATCTGAGGAGCTTGGATGCTTCAGAAAGCTTTGAACATTTTTTATGCCCCATGCATGTCTATGGGAGCAACCAGGAGTCCTCACACAGACATGGCGACAGTACGCAAACTCCACACAGAAAGACCCCACCCTGGATTCAGGCCAGGCACCACCAATCGCCCCACCCAATCATTAAACCTGTTCAGTTTTCCATTACAAATATTGTCCTGCTTTAAAACTTGTCTTTTGTCCTATTAGGAGCTGGAAGAGTCGGAGGCCTGGATCAGAGAGAAAAGCTCCATCCTGGGAGCTCAGGGCTACGGGAAGGACCTGAGCAGTGTGCTGAGGTTACTGCAACAGCACAAGACTCTGGCTGGGGAACTGCTGGCTCACCGCTCACTGCTGCAGGTGCGTGTTTTCAATTCTGCACCTGGTAAATGTACTGCTGTAAGAGTTTTTCTCCAAACTTCACAGACTTCAGTAAATTTATGCATTTACATTTATACATTTCTTTTAGTTTATCTAAAAAAGACCCATCCAACTTCTCCTAACAGAACATTTGGAGTTCACGTTTTGAGGATGTATCTGCTGGCCCACATTAAAAGCTATATCAGCCAATAGCTTTTATATACTATTGGTTGATATTAATTTCATGTTCTCCTTGTTTTACTTTGAAGCACCAGGTGGTCGTTTTAATGAAAACAAGAAAGAGAACAATATGAATATGTTAGATCTAGGGTCTCCAGGTCTCTTGGTCTTTAGGGTTTATTTGTTTTTCAGCCACATGCAAATCAAGCGTTTTCTCAAGCCAGAAGTGGCCATTTTTCAAATGAGTCAAATATCTTTCCTCCTATCCAGAACACCATGAAGCGAGGGAAGCAGATTCTGAGTGAGAAGAGCTTTGGCACAGCGGGGATCCAGGAGCGCATCATGGAGGTTAAAGGCGAGTGGAAGAGGCTGGAGGACCAGGCTGCGCAGCATCTCAGCCACCTGCAGGAGGCGCTCAACTTCTTCCAGTTCTCCACAGAGACGGATGACGTCGTGGCCTGGCTGCAGGACGCTTACCGCCTGGTGTCCAGTGAAGACTTTGGACACGATGAGTACTCCACTCAATCGCTGCTAAAGAAACACAGAGGGGTCAGTGAAGCCATTGACAAACATCGTTTGCATGTAGTGGCACTGCGCAAACACATGGTGGCGCTGCCCCTGCGGTACCGTGAACAGGAGGTGGGTACGGGCGCAACAATCAAACAAAAAAAAAGGATGTTTCACTTCCCATGTCTTTATTATTTAATAAACTTTTTGTCCGACCATCTCGTCCTGTCTCCTCTTCCATCCTCCTCTCTGCAGGAGGTGCAGGTTCGTATGGGAGAGGTGGAGCAGCTGTACACAGAGGTTGCTGAAATCGCAGTGCTCAGACAGCAGTGGCTTCACGACGCCCTCGCTGTGTACCGCATGTTCAGCGAGGTCAACGCCTGCGAGCTGTGGATTGACGAGAAGGAGCAGTGGCTGGAAAGGATGGAGATCCCAGAAAAACTGGAGGATGTGGAGGTCGTGGCACACAGGTGAGGAGGAAGGGAAGGAGGACAGAATGGCTAAAGGTTACCAAAGCTTAGCTGGGTGGTCAGTGTCTGTCTTGTTGTCTAAACTGTTACCAAGAATTGGCTGAGTCCAACCTTTGCAGTTCAAAACTACAACCCTCATGTTGCAGATTTGAGAGCCTGGACCAGGAGATGAACAGCCTGATGGGAAGGATCCTGGATGTTAATCAGATAGTTCAGCAGCTCCTGGATGGAGGTCATCCATCTTCTACAGAGGTCAGAGGTTGTCAGGACCACCTCAACTCTAGGTACTGAAACAAAAGCAACAATCGAAGTGATAACAGTAATTACAAATTATGTTTTCAGTACTATAACCTTTACTACAGCTACCATGAGTAATACTGGCTGGATCCATCTGTTAGTAACTGAATACTCAAATCCTAAACTGGGAACACAACCACTGCTGATCATCATGCTAATACTGCTAATGTGAGTCAAGGCCTGTTTGCAGTTTTTCATACATAAGAAAGTACTTTGTTCAAAGTGCTGGAAAGTTCTATTTAAAAATGCACGGTCAGTATCACATCACAGCTTCATTAACAACTTAGTGCCAGCACATCAGCATATCTGCTCATAACACCAGAGCAGTGAACAAATGCCAGCTGCATCATTTACCACAGTAACAAATAGATGTGCCTACCAACTCACAGATGAACCTCATATTAGTAATATAGTTAATATAGTTCCTGTGTCGGCTGTTGATTGGTTGGATTGGAGTGCTGTGACTTCTCTGTGTACAATTTCATTGCTAAGACACTGAGAGTACAACGTTTAAAAATAAGATAAAATGTGATTGAGTGGAATAAGGTCAAAGTTACATTATTTAAATCAGCCTCAGTTACCAAAGTACAGCACTGTAGTACATAACATGCATGGTAGTACTGTAGCACTGCCATATGTGACAAACAATATTTATTAGTAAAGGTTCAAACTTCAGAAAATGAGCTCTAACAGCGTAAACATGTTTGTGGAGAGCAGCTTGTGAACTGATTGCTCTCTGTTGAAAAATGAATTGATTTTACTGATTTTACCAGAGGCAGGAGGAGGGGCGTAGTAGGTGGGTGGAGAGGAAGGTGGAGGGAAGTCAGCTGACACACAGGGAAAGAAGAGAAACACCAAGAGTGTGAATTGTTGTGGGGTTTGTTAACGGCTTTTTTTAAATTGCCGTCTTTGGGAGTTGAACCTGCCTTCTCATCGTAATTATGCGACATGCAGCTCTTACATCGTAGCACCTTGGAGCCATCCTCCCTCCGATCTCTGTCCACGTAGATCCTGAGATGGGATTGCGTTTTTGTTTTTTTGCTTAAATGTCTCAGCCCGCTTCATTGACCAGTTATGTCTGGCAGCAGAGTCCATGACAGCCGGGTGTTCGTGAGTCCGGTGACCTTGGCACGTGGAGAGTCGGTCTTGGGGTGACCATCTGTGTTGGCTTCCTCATTTAAGACGGGGCTGGCCAAGAGTCCCAAACTCAAAAACAAACATACAAGCAGTCATATTTATTCACCGCCTTCTCTTGTATTGGTTAATAGAATTGTGTTCCAGTAGTAAAAGCCTAAATGCATAATATATTAACTTAATTTGATGATATTGAACACAGTGCGACTCTACCCAGCTTAAGTGGCACAAAGAACATCAGTCTATAACAGTAGGAGGGAAAATTCAAGGTGTATTTCTCTCTCTAAAGCACACGGTTGTCTAATCTCCTGACGTTTATCGTGCTTACAGCTCACTCAGTTTTACTCTCAGTCTTTCAAAATGATTCCTGATGTAATATCTACAGTTTGGTATATATCTATAAATTGTTAAAAAGCCAAACAAGAGTCAGCAAGAGTACTGATATTTAACATAACATACATTTAACACTTGCTAATAACATTTTATAAATACTACCACTACTACTACAAATGATTATATGGTATTTAAAAAAACACATCACAATACCTGTTTTAATTTAGTTTTAGTAGAGGTAGTAAGGTTTAAACACCTGAGGTCAACTATCCAACACAACAGCCAATGCAGGTGACGAACAGCGTGCAGGCAGGGTGGAGTGGGTGGAGACATGTGTCAGGGGTGATTTGTGACAGGAGGATAGAGGGAAAGGGAAGGTTTACAGACCTGCTACGGTGTAAGGTTTGGGCACTGACTAACAGACAGGAGCCTAAGCTAGACGTGGCAAAATTAAAGATATCAGGATTTTCGCTGAGATGGACCAGGATGGACGGGATTAGAAATGAGTACATCAGAGGGAGAGAGGATGTTGGAGGTGGAGTTGCCAGACAGGAGGAATAGGAGGATCTCAGAGGAGATTCGTGGATGCAGTGAAGGAGGACATGAAGGGATTTGGTTTGAGAGGAGATTGCTAGGGATAGCATAGCAGATGATCCACTGGGATGAACAATGAAAGGAGCAGCTGAAAGAAGGAGGAAAAAATAAGACCATGGCAGAATCAAAGCAGTATTAGTGACCTAATTTTCAGTCAGGTTATAATTAAATGTACTTACTACAGACATCTTTTTGTGCAAGGCAATCAAAAGGTTTCAAAAATAACTTACTCTGAAGCCGCTGTCTCTTTCTTGGGCTGAGGAGCTAGAGAGGAGGGAGAAAAAAAGCGGAAGGGTGGTTTGAAAAGTGCTCTGCTAAGTGTTTCTGATATAAGAAGACACTCATTTAACCTGTCATTTCAAAATAAAGTGTCTTGATGACGTTATTCTCCTTACTCTCATCCACCTCCAAGTGAGCAGTGCAGATGGACTGTCCAGCTTTATTTGTTGCAATGCAGGTGTAGGCACCAGTGTACTCTGTGCCCACGTCCATCAAGATGAGACTGTGGTGGCGCCCAGAGCTTGCTATTTTGTATCCTTTAGTGTCAGGCTTGATCCACAGGACATCCTCCAAAGATTCCTCCTTTAGCCAGTTGACCATGGGAGTAGGAGATCCTAAGAGAGAAGGGTGATTATGGAGACTTTGTAATAATGATGCGTGGCAGATAGAGCCCAAAATCTAGACTTTCTTCTTATCTAGAAAAGTGTAGTAACGCACCTTCTACTTTCACAGACAGAGTGATGCTTGTTCCTTGTTTCACCTTCCTATTGCTGAACCTTTCAATAAAGCGGGGTGGCACCAGGGGCTCTTTAGGGTCTGTGAGAATGAAGTGTATAATGTGACATTTTGAATATATGGACATGTCTACTGAAAGTACATATACTTGTGCTGTGGTTTGTAGGATAAATGTTAAATTACCCTTTTTCTCTTGTGGTAAAATCTCCCCAGGACCTGTTGCAAAAAGTGTTGCAAATGTATAAAATGTATCTCATCGTTTCATTTGAGATTTGTATTTTGTATTCAGGCACGTGTATACATACTCAATACTATCATCCGGGCAGAGGAGTAAGCAGAACCAGCTGCATTGCTGATGTAGACGGAGTACTCCCCCATATCCTCTTTTTTCACCTCCGTGATCTCCACGCCATGAACGTCTCTCTCTGCTAACAAATGAATTCTTTCTGAAGGTCGTAGAGGGTGGCCATCTTTGAACCAGTATATTCTGGGTTTCGGGAAACCTGGAAAACAACAAAAATTTGACAAACATTATTCTTAAATCATATGCAATGTTTTTAGAACACTGGGATGGATTAACAAATCTTTACTTTACCCTTTACTTTAAGCTGCATCTTTGCAATAGGTGAACCTGGACAGACGTGAACATCATGAAGCTCCTCCACAACCTGCGGTAGCTGATCATCTTCAGCTACAGACTCAAAGGTCTCAGTTTCCCTGTTGGAGGAGAGTAAAGCACAGCAGCTCCAGTATATTTATAACTGTATGTGAAGGCCTCAATATAAAGGTTTAGTTCATATAAATAAATAAATAAACATAAATAAACTTACCTGGACATGTATCCTTTGGCACTGACGTAAGAAGACGTCTCAGTGGCATCAGCAGCAGTGTCATAATCTGAGCTGCAAGACACTGATGGAGAAATTTTATTATAGTTTTATACAATGCTTAAGGTGTAAAGGGACTCTGCTTTTCTAAGATGTTGATTTATGGTTTGGAAATTAGCTTCATGCTTCAGTTAAATGCTACATCTGTATAGCTGTAGGTTTTGTGGGTTTGTTTTTGTTGTTTTTTTTACCCCTGCCTAATATAAAGGCAGGGTGAGAAACCTGCCTTTATATTAGGGGAGGCTCAAGGTCCATCTCACATATTCTGCATGCTAGTTTTGCTCTGACTTTGTCTGAAGTTCTCTTCTGTTTTAAAAAAACAAGCTATACAGAAGTTTGCATACATTTACGGGCATGAATATTGTAGTAATTTTGCCCTTTTAATAATAACAATAATAATGGATTGCATTTATATAGCCTTTTCGATACCCTCAAAGCGCTTTACAATTCCACTCTCACATTCACACACTGGTGGAGGCAAGCTACAGCTGTAGCAGACTGACAGAAGCAAGGCTGCCATATCGCGCCATCGGCCCCTCTGGCCATCATCAGTAGGCAGTAGGTCTGTGTCTTGTCCAAAACAGATAGAGCTGGAGATAGAGCTGGGGATCAAACCGGCAACCTTCCGGTTACAAGATAAGCTTCCCAACCCCCTGAACCACAGTCGCCACATTTAACGCTTTCTTTGAACTGTTCTTTTTCCAGGGTGGAATGATGTACAGCATACATCTCAATGACTTCAAAAAACAAGAATTTGGTGTCCAAAATAAATTCAAATTTGTGCACCAAATTCTCATTTTTTAAGTCATTAAAGATGTACAGATGCTGTACAGTTTGCCTAGTCAATTATCCCAGGACAGGTATTTAAAAAGCAAACGTGTGTTTCTTGTATCATCTGTTCACTTACTGTCAACCCTGAGTTCAGCTTTAGTAGATGCAATGCCACTGCTGTTTTCAGCTGTGCAGCGATAGACCCCCATATCAGTAGGCAACACAGTGGTGATGATAAGTTGGTGACAGCCCTCCTGGTCTTCATTGATCATGTAATGGTCGTTCTCCTCCAGCAGCTTGCCATCCTTATACCAGCGAACAGTGGGAGGTGGCTTGCCAATCACAACACAGTCAAAGCTGACTGGATAACCGTCTGGAACATCCTGACTTTGTAGCTCGGTTAAGAAGACAGGTGCAGCTGGCAACAAGAGCAAATGGAAAGCAAATATAAAAATCCCACCCCTAACAGAGAAACTATTCTTGGTGTATTGAACTTGGTGCATTACTAACCAGACAAAGTTATAATTAACAGAGAGCAAGCTGCTTCTTACCTGGAGCTCCAGTCATGAAAGCAGGAGGCTGTCTATCTTGTGTGGGCGTCTGTGTACCATCTTGTATGTAGCTCATCTTTTTAATTCGCAGCTCCACTTTGTGAGGCCCTGCAGGTAAGATTGTGGTCTCCACAGGAACCCCATGGACTGTAAACATCTCCTGAAATCTCGTAGAGGCAACTTCAGCTTCTGTCCGTGAATCAAAACGAATGTAGATATAATTGTCATCTTCACGGTAAGATTGTGGGTCTGGGGCTCGCAAGTCTCCTTCATCTGCACTGACAAATGGTTCTTCCTCAACATCTGGTGGGAGACGCGTGCGCAACAGGCGCCGGAGGCGTCTGCTTGCCTGTCTCAGCGACTCATCCATCTCACTTCCGGAGGAGCTCTCAGGCTCACTGTCAGCACTGTAACCTACAGTAAGCGGCCGTCGGCCTGATGATTCTCTTACCGTTCCCACGGTCACCTTACCACTGTGAGAAGCTACCCCAAACTTGTTAGTGGCTTCACATGTGTAAACTCCAGTGTCCTTGGTGGTGATTGCAGTAATGACCAGTGAGCAGGTGCCATCATTATAGATATCAATATGATGATGCTTGCCATCCGTCAGTGGTTCTCCATCTTTCAGCCAGCGGACTTTATCAGGTTTACCTTCTGTCACACATTCCAGATGTATGGTGCCATTAGGTTCTTTAGTCTGGTCTTTGAAGACATCTTTAAAAACAGGACGCATGTCCTTGCGGGCCTTGTAACCCTTGAAGGCAGCTTGAATCTTAACAGCAGCTTCTCTGAGCTCAGGGTCATCCTCTTTACCGATCTCCATGATGCTAGTTTCCTCTGTAGACACGTGTTTTTCTTGGGTTTGCTGAACTACAGTTGTTTTCACTTCTGTCTGCTGCACAGTTTTCTGCTCTGACATTTGGAAATGTGCGAAGAACCTCTCAGTGGCTAGAGTATCTGCTTCCTTTGTCACTGTCTCAGTAGTCTTGCTGCTCTTTTTGAGGTAGGAAACAAGCGTCGAACGCCCAGAAACAGACTCATCCTCAGAGCTGGTGCACAGGCTGGCTTCTGTCTGCTTCTTTGACACAATGGCCTGCTCCTTCTCTGTTGATTTGACTTCCACTTTCTCAGATTGTGGAAGCTGATTCTGGTCTAATTTGCTCTGACCCCTTTTGCCATCCTCCTCTGGTTGCTCAGAGATGGAGTCCAGAGTTGGCTCCCGACTCATGCGTCGTTTCTTGGCTGATGCTTCCCAAAGTTCATGGAGATCACCTTCTTCAGCAGCCTCAGGAGGAAGACTGGGTTGTCCCAGTGCCTCAGTTACTTCCTGTTTTGCATCTACACATATGACCACAATGGAGTTACAGTTATGGTCCATACAGCACCACGCCCTCTTTAATTGGTGCTTAATCCTAACGTTTAACATTTATGTGCAGGGCTACATTAGGGCTACAGCAGAGCTTGTGGAGAAATACAAAAAGTACCACATATACAGCGTACAGTGACCTACCTGGAGTAATCGGTGGCAGAGGAGGTGCTTCTGTGTTTCAAGAAGAGAAGAAAAACAAATGATATTAAAGTTTATAAAATATCAAAATTCCTTGGTTTCTAGCATTACATCTTTGGCTAGAATGTTGCAGTTGCATAAAGCTCGATCTCATATCACCATGTGACATAAAACATGAACTGCAATTACAATTATAAACACAACATCACAGAAAAAAAGCAGCTACACTGTTGTGTTAAGTGAAGCGTACATTCACTCACCAAGCTGAACAGTCTGAGGCAGCTCAACAGGCTCCCCTATCCCTGCTCTGTTGATGGCTGCCACTCTAAACCTGTAGGCACTGCCTGGACTGAGATTTTCAACCACAAATTCGGTGTTACGCACAGGCTCAGAATGACATGGAAGCCAGAGGGCACTGTCTACCATTCGGATCTCCACTCTGTAGCCCAGAATGGGACTTCCTCCATCATGCAAAGGTGTGAACCAAGAGAGGGTAACAGACTTTTTTGTCTTACTGAGGACCTCCGGATCCTCTGGAGGATCAGGCACAGCTATGGGGAAGGGAAAAAGAAAAACCGCCATTGGATGTATTTATGAACACTAATTAAAAACCAAATACTCTACAGTGTTAATCTGTTATGAAAGTTATATGGAAGGTGTTCCAAATGCTCCAGAACTTTCCATGTTTTTGTTAGATAGCTTATCTTTTCTAAAGAATGTCTTAGGCCGCTGTAAATTTGCACAGGTTTGCTGCTTCTTCAAAGAGAAAGCTCTGTACTGTTTGGCTTTCAAAAAGCAGAAGTTAAGTAAAGACCTGATATTCTTAGAGATCACAGCACCATCTGGGATAAATATTTACTAAGCATAAATTACAATTAAGAGGAATCTATTACTCAGAAATTTGGTTACATATTTCCAGCAGCCTTTTTCAAAAAGATTGAATCAGAGGGCATTCCCACATAAAGTGGGAACAAAGATTCTTACATTTAATGCAAATGTTGAAAGTATTAGCGTTAACACAGCCTTGTTGGAGCAATGCATTGCCTATTTATCCATTTATATTGCTTTAGTTTGTATTGGAACTTAAGACCACACTTCTGACCATTGTTTCTTGTTTACATAATATTTGAAATCTGTTCTCCATACTAGTGGCATGTAGTATGTTATGAAATGACACGTTGTACCTACTAGCAAACATGTTGTTTAAGACAGACACCAGGCCACTAGACTTTACAAATTTCAAAGTGAAATCTTCAGTGGTGGATAAAGAAGACTACTGAACTGCCTAGCTAATATAAAACTTCACAGTTGGAGGTATTAAGAAGAAGCTTTGATGGTATGCCATACCTGCTCCATAGTTCTTCAAAAGATTTTTATTACCTTAGCTTCCTACTATACCCTGAATTGTCCAAAATTTTAATTCTGGTTCTGCGCTCCCTGGTCGAAACTCAGAATTACAAAAAATTGGAGTAAACTCTATATACAGGTATATATATATGATATTTGTTATATCTATTTATATACATAACATTAGGGGTGCAACGATACACAAAATTCACGGTTCGGTTCGATACTTTGGTGTCACGGTTCGATATTTTTTCGATACAAAAAAATGTTCATGCCTTTTTAATTTGTCATTTATTAAAATTATAAATATATATTTTAACTCAAAAGTACAGTTTTTAAATTTAATGTTGCTGAAACAAAAGTAATTAAAAAAATAAAATCTGATTGAGGAATCACTCATCTTTGGAAAAGAGAGTTTATTACAGAGAAATGGCTCTTTCCAAAATAAAAGCTATACTATACGCTTCTTCTGGGCTATATTCTCAGCAGCATATTGTAGCGGGTCAGGGCTGTTTGGGGTTCTGTTTGTACAGTTATGTTTTGTTTATGTTGCCATAGTGACGGGTGACGCCCTCTCGCTGCGACGGTGTGTCCTTCCGGGGTCAGAGGGCGCCCTGTGTGTTGTTGTTGTTGTTGCTGTGCGGTTGCCGCGCTGAGCAGTTAGCTAGCGGCAGTGTTCTTCTGCAGATGTCAATAAACGGCTGTGCTCCCTGGCTAGCTC